CAGTCCCTGCGACTCTTGGATTCATCACCGCTTATTGTTGGCGCAAACTTCTTTCATCGCTTATACAGATTCACTAACAGTTTTTTAAAAATCCAAATTGTTAAGTGGTGGGAGGTTTACTCATGTCCCGCCTTCACATAAAGTGACCGACTCTCCTGTGAAAAGGGATAATGAGGGGTCACCAGGGGGCGTGGCGCACCGAGTCTCGTCAGGCTTGGGAACGCGGTTCGGGTGGCCTCTGCTTGGTCACGGGTTTGCAGTCAGTGGCACACGGGCTCCGCTTCTCAGTATCCTCTCAAACCCAGGCAGCAGCACAGACACGTCACCTCCCAGGAACACCAGTTTTTAAAAGCAAAGAAGTCAAGAGAAAAGGCGAAGGACCGGGATGGCGGCGAGGAGGCTGGCTGAGTGGCTTTGGCCTCGTGAATCACAGACGCGTCCGACTAGGTGTGGTGGAGAGCAGCCCCACGGCTCTTAGTGATGGAGGCAAACCACTGGCCCGGGTCAGCCCAGAGACTGGCACGCCGGCGTCACCCTGGACCAGGAGGAGCACACTCTCCCTCCCGCTGCCACTGCCCTAGAGATTCTCCTTTCATCCCAGAAGACCAGGAAGGTCTTAATGTGATTAACACCACTCGGTGGGAGTGAGGTCAGCAGCCAGAGGTCTTGGCTTCCTAACTCAGCCCTGCCTGGTTCATCCTCTCCTTTGGGCCTCAGTGTCCTTATCTGCCCATTGGGGTAATACTGTTAGCATGTATTGATTTATAGGGATTTTACCCAGGCAGGTTGGGTAACAGAAGTGGTATTCTCTAAGGAAAAGAAAGTCTGTTTATTTTCTAGCTAATCAGCACAATCTTTGCTTATGATTGAAGTGACTCTGTTGGGCCCCCCAGAACTTTAGATGAGAGAGGAGACCCATTCTCTTATCCTTGTCTCTTGTCAATTCAAGCTGCCTTTTAGGATGGCACATCTTGGGTCACCCTAGCAAGCTGGTGGTTTAATACTTCCTCTTCCTGGGGAACTTGCATTAAAAACAACAACAAGCACTTGAGGCCAAAGCTAATCTCAGAAGCAGCAGGACTTGGGTCTGGAGCTGGTCCCCCAAGGTCCATTCCCAGATCGGCCACTTACTAACCACAGGACCTTAGGATGCAACATAAGCCCTCTGAGTCTGTTTCCTCATCTGAAAATGGGAAGAAGCCTTCCATCCTGTGGAATTATGAAGATTAGAGACAGTAAGTGTAAAGCTTATGCTACAGTGCCAGGCACTCAGCGGGCACCTAATAAATGCACTGACCACTATTAATATGCCCATCCCAACTGTAGGTTTGTATGAATCTCTAATTGGCTTTTAGGTGTCACAGCCCTGAAAGGCGATGGCTCTTGAAAGCAGAGGGCTCTTTGGGTGGCCCCAAGTCACATCTGTGACAAGAACCGGCCTGCAGCTGTCGGCATTACGGGCTGGCAATGCAGAGAGAACTCAGAGGAGAAGGGAGCTGACAGAGGGTCACAGGGCTAGTATAATTTCAGGTAAGGCCCTGACACGCCCCCCTCCCCACAAGCCCTCCTGTAAATTGTGGCGGTTAAACTACATTTTCTCAAAGGCGCCAAGGCCGATGGCTGTGCAAATCCTTGTTAAAGTGCAGATTCTGATAAGGTCTGTCTGGGGCAGGCCTGAGACCCTGCATCTCTCAGACCCTCTGGTGGTCTTCATACCAGGCTGATAGCAAGGCATTAACACTCTTTCTGGCTTGGAAGTTCTGCTCTGATCTAATTAGACGATTAGGAAATCAGATTCCACAGATACAGCAAGTTACCCCGGAAAAATAGGAGGAAGCAAGCGTTTCCACCACAGAGAAGTGCCTGGCGGGGGGAGAGGGGGTTAGGATCTTTCCTCTGCTCTCCTGTGATAGCAACTGCCGGAGGCACTGGCCGTGCTTTTCTGAAGGAGGCCAGCTCTGGGGAAGGGAGCAGCTGCACCAAGCAGGTTGTTTATATGGTGCAATGAAGATGCATTATTTAACTCCTGCCAGAGGAGAGAAACGTTTACAAACGTAGGAAATTATTCATGCCCGGCTTCGGTCTGGCTCGAACACAAGGGCTGCGTTCCATCATTTCTGCTCCCAGCGGACAAACCGCAGCCCTCCATTTTCCGGCACAACCGAGCAGTTTCCCACAGCGACCAGCAGAGGGCACTGGTGACCCACACACGCGGCCCTGGCGGTGCGGAAAAGGGTAGAGCTTCCCTGCCAGGCCGGTTTGCAAAAACGCTTGCTTCCCTGTGGACAGGTATGGGGGGGGGGGGGGGGGGGGGGGGGGGGGGACGTATGCCCACCACCCACGACAGCCTACGGCCCGGGTATGGATGTGTCCGTAGGGGCGCACTCAAGCACCGACGACAGGGAGGAAGGACAGTTTTTGGTTAGGTTTAGATTTTTATGGATTCCTAGTTGCCTCCTAAAGGGGACCCCTCAGGTGAGACCTGCAGATCCAGAATCCTGGCAAAGGCCCTAAGGTCTGACCGACTTTTTTTCCTACTAAATTCCCTTTATCGGTACTGTGACTCCAGCTCATTAGTGTTGGCCCCAAGCCATGTATCTGCTTCAGGCCTCCATGTCGTGATGAACCCGATGGTGCAGGGACGTCTACTGACAGCTCTTAACCACTTTCAGACTGCTGACAAGGAAGAAACTCGGGGGGTCAGATCACAAGGAGCACAGACCAGGGAGCTGAGTGGGACAGTTTCGGAGACTCTGCCCTCATCTTCTGAGCAGGCCTGGCCCTTCCCAAAACTGTCTCTGGGAGGTAAAAGCTATTTTGGTTTCTTGCCTCCTGGAAACTTAAAGCCTGTATTTACCACATTTTTCTTTTCTCAAAAACTAATTTAAAATTTAGCAACTATGATACAATGTTTAAGTTTTCAGGACTCACTTATAAGCCTTGATTTGAAAAGTTTACTTGTGGTGGGGGCTCCTGGGTGGCTCAGTCAGTTGAGCAGCAGACTCTCGATTTCAGCTTAGGACATGATCCCAGGGCTGTGGGACTGAACCCCACGTCGGGCTCTGCACTGAGTGTGGAGCCTGCTTAAGATTCTTTCTCCCTGTCCCTGTCTTGTGTTCATGCTTTCTCTCTCTAAAATAAATAAAATGGGGGTCGGGGGGAGATCCCAGCCTTTAAATTAAAGACTGCATTTTTTTTAAAAAATGAGAAGTTTGTGTTAAGAAAGAATGGATTCTTATCCTGACAGTGTGGCTGACACAAAGGCTTAAATGCCTCACTGTGGACCCTTCTAGAACATGAGGTGTTAAAGAGATAAAAAGTTGCAGGTAGGGTAATCAGTACAGTGGCCTTTTACTATGCACCAGCCTCATGATTTGATTTGCACAACTGTAAGGGAGCTTATCAACGAGCTCTGATGAGATATTTGAAACACACTTTAATGCACTGGCACAGAGTAGGGGCTTAAGAAGTATTTGCTGAGTTACTGTATGTGTACATCGAAGCAATTTATGTTCCCTGCCTGCTGTGGTATATGACTTTGCCCCCCTTCCCCCCTTTTTTTTTCCAAATTAAAAAAAAAAAAGTTTTTATTTTTCAGAGAGAGGGAGAGAGAGAGAGAGCGAAAGAGAGAGCAGGGGAGGGGCAGAGCAAGAGGGAGACACAGAATCCAAAGCAGGCTCCAGGCTCTGAGCTGTCAGCACAGAGCCCTGTGTGGGGCTTGAACTCACTAGCCGTGAGATCATAACCTGAGCCAAAGTTGAGACACCCAACCGAATGAGCCACCCAGGCGCATCCCCTCTTCCCTCTTTAAGAACAGATTTCCAGGGGCGCCTGGGTGGTTCAGTTGGTTAAGCACCTGACTCTTGATCTCAGCTCAGGTCAAGATCCTATGGTTGGTGGGTTCAAGTCCTGGGTCAGGCTCTGCACCGGCAGCGTGGAGCCTGTTTGGGAATCTCTCTCCCTACCTCTGCCCCTCCCCTACTCATGCACACTCTCTTTCACTCTCAAAAATCAATTAAAAAAATAAAAACCAATTTCCAGTGGAGCATGAGGATGTATTTTTTTCTAGAACAAGGAAGCCACTGGTCTACATTTGGGAGATGTGTAGTAAATATTAGTTTATCATGTAATAGGAAGGAAGAAAGCTTTGTGAAGAAAATGAACTTCACCATGGTCAGCACCAACAAAACCGCTCTTGTAACATGGCTCCTCCGGGGGCGGATCCAATACACCAAGCACAGGCTAATCGTGCTCCTGAAATGTAACCATCGTAAACCTGACACACCCCATCTATCGGCGATTTTCCATCCTTTCTGGAACAAGACGGATTATTGGCAAACAATAAGCCAGTGATGCCAGTATCCTAGCCTTTTGGTACTGGCGTATGTCACCATGCCATTACGTCTCGTGGGCAACCTAACGGTACAACAAAACTCAGCGTCAACTGCATTGCCAGTAAGATTACAAAAATGCAGGGGCGCCTGCGTGGCTCAGTCGGTTAAGCATCTGACTTCGGCTGAGGTCATGATCTCGTGGTTCATGAGTTTGAGCCCCGCGTCGGGCTCTGTGCTGACAGCTCGGAACCCGGAGCCTGCTTTGGATTCTGGGTCTCCCTCTCTCTCTGCCCTTCCCTTGCTCACGCTCTGTCTCTCTGTCTCTCAAAAGTAAATAAACGTTGAAAAAAAAAAGATTGCAAAAATGTGTGCCTTTATGAAAACAAATAAGAAACCTAACTAGTTGTACTGAGAGACAGGCAAGATTGGAATGGGGTGACCCACAGACAAGCCCACGGTGAGAAGCTTCAGAGGAAGAGGCACTAATTAGAAGGAACACTCCCTCGCTGCACAAGGCATCAGAAGGGACATCGTGGCACATCCAGCCAGCTACATGCTGGGCAGAATGTTGTGACTCAAACGGTATTTATAACAAGCGAATTCTCGAACTACCCATCACACGCACGGAAGGACCGCAGCTGGAGGGGATGCCGGGAGCTACATTACCTTTCTCGGCACTGTTCTCCCCAAGGCAACCGCAGGGGTGGAGCAGAAGAGCCCAATGTTCACACCTGGAGTGGCAAAAGAGGACTTGTCGCTCGCCACGGCAATGTCACAGCTGGCAACCAGCTGACAGCCGGCGGCGGTGGCCAAGCCGTTCACCATGGCGATGACGGGGACCGGGTGGTTCTGGATCAGCATCATGACCTGAAGGAGCAGACACACCACATCATTTCCATCCAGGAGTGAGGTCCAACGTGAATGCGTGTATCACGTTATGTGACTGCACCATTTTCAGAGCATTTTCCGGATGCATCATTGTATCAGGCTCTGGAAAAAAGGGTGAAAGGCGCCGCAAAAACTACCTTGGCATTAAACACCGACTGTGAATCAGACCGTACTATTTGGTCTTCCCGAGACCCACAGAAGGAAGAGCCCCTGTTCCACAACCAGGATGTGAAAGCTTAGGGGGAAGTAAGCGGCCAACACTGGAGATGCTCACGAGGGGCAGAGGGGTCTGAACCCGCGTCTGGCGGACGCCACGGTCCGGGTCTTCCCTCCCAGGCAGGGCGCCTCTGCGAGGCCACAGTCCCCGCTGCTCTCCCGGCAGCCCCGCTGAAGAACAGAGCAATTTTGATCTCCGGAGGGAACCGTGGCTGCGTGGAGCCCTCCTCCTGAGTCTGAAACTGGTATTTGGTACATCCTTGAAAAATTAAGGTGGAAAGGAACTGGAAGGCAATTTCCTTAGTAATTACTTCCCAAATTACCACTATGAACACTCTCTCAATTCTATTAAAGTGGTAGGGGACACCCTGCTGTCATCAAAATAAAATTCCCCAAACAGGGCCACTGGCACAGAGAGGAGCCGAAAACTTGCTCATGTGACACCCCACCCCCATAAATCTCCAGAACTTTAACTTATTTTTGCAGCTTACAAAATAACTTGGCTTATTTCTCCATTTTTTCTTGCTGCTCTAAACAGACTGCGTTGCTATGGTGACTTCAATGTATAAATGGTCGCACTTTGAACCTTGGCAGGAAGGAGGGCAGGCGGGAAGGAAGGACCACATCTGGACTTGTTTCCCATGGCGGCATCCCAGAAAAAATGACCTTCATTGATTTGAAGATTCTGCCCAAGGAACCTAGCCTTCTGCATTCACAAACATTTGATATTTGCCACTTTTATTATAAAATAACCAATTGGATATTTAAGTATATGATATATTCTATAGTACTCATTCTGGACTTTTTTTTGAGGGGGGAGTCACCTTTTGAGAACCTGATCAATGCTAATGATCCTCTCCTCACAAGAATGCACATATCTACATCTGCACCCCAGACTGCTCATGGTGGAGTTCGTGTGCTCTCAGTGAGGGTTAGGATGGTTGGGGATGAAACTCGTTCCCAGTGAAATGCAGTAGCAAGGAGAAAAACGCGTGAGAACTTCCAATGTCTTGTGCAAAGACAGACTTTTTTTTTTTGGCTGAGTGTCATCTGTCACCTAAGAACTGGCTCCTTATGAAAAGTTATTTGGCTCTGATTAGCACAGAATAGTCTGTGTCTCCTGCCTGCCATCTACGATGTGCTAAGATTTTCTACAGCCTGGTCGGAAAATACTTACAGTAGGTACCGACAGTATTAAAAATATTCATGCCTTTCATCTAGGGATTACCTCTTTTTTTTTAATGTTAATTATTTATTTTGAGAGAGAGAGAGAGAGAGAGAAAGTGAGCAGTGGAGGGACAGAGAGAGAGAGAGCAATGTCAGCACAGAGCCCGAGACAGGGCTCAAACTCACAGACTGTGAGATCATGACCTGAACCAAAATCCAGAGTTGGCGCTTAACAGATTGAGCCACCCAGGCACCCCTAGGGATTACTTCCAAGGAGTAATCCTGAAATAGGGTAAAAAGCTGTCTGGACAATGATGCTCACAAATTATTTTATAACAGTAAAAAATTAATAAATAACATAAATATACACCAATCGATAATGAAAAATGGCTATGTAAACTAAATGTCCATTGAAAGGAATGCTGTGTTCTCATTATGAGAGTTTCCACAAGACACATTAGCCTGATGGGCTGGGCCCTGTGTAGTGGTCTGGAGGCAGGCTGCTGGGGTTTGGTGCCCAGTTGACCACTTAGCCACTGCTTATCCCTCAGTCTTCACATCTGGGGATAATAACGGGCATAACAATAGTACCAATATTTCATTGTATTGTATTCTAGAGTGTGTGTGAGCGGGGGGCAGTGGGGACAAGGGGCAGAGCGAAAGAGGGAGAGAATCCCAAGCAGGTTCCATGCTCAGCATGGAGCCCAACACGGGGCTCAATCCCATGACTCCAAGATCATGACCTGAGCCAAAATCAAGAGTCAGATGCTCAACTGAGCTACCCAAGAGCCCTATAATAGTACCAATCTCAGAGAACACAAGAATTACATACATCACTATGTCTAAAGTCCTCAAAACATTACCTGGCACATGGTAAGCATTCAACGATACAGTCATGTTATACAATTATATGGTATAATTGCACGTATGTATGATTACTCAGACAAATAGGATCACATGGGAAAAGATTCAGAAGAAATATACCAAATATTAGCATTCACTCTGGGTGGTATGATTATGGTCTAGTATCAATCGTTTATTTTCCTTCCTCTCATTTTCCTAGATTTTCAAATTTTTCCATAATAAGCATTTATTATTTTTATAATTAAAAAGTATTTTAAGTACAGTTAGAGAGCAAATTCGGGAAGGACAAAGACAAGCTAGATAATAAATCAGCTGGGATATTGAATCCCTTGGTAGTCAGGACTTGGTTATCCCTCCTAGTTTACTTTCTTGAACCAAGTATTTTTCCTGGCTGTGCCTGCTCCAAAATGTGACATAAACTTGACTCTACCTTAGCCTCACTCAATAGCACTGCCAAGGGCCCTGTGTTACTCCCCAAAAGTGAGAGGCCTTGTTCCATTGCCATTTCAGTGTGAGGATGTAATAAGGAAGAGAAGATTCTCTTCCTGGACTGGGGTTTCCACCTTCAAACTTCAACAGGAAAGACGCAGGGATAGGTGTCCGGTGAAATCTGCCAATCAGCTCCACAGAGGGTTACTTTTGGTCTCTCAGAGCCAAGCGCTCCTTCTCATTCTCGATTTCTCCTATTCCTGATTTGGAAATAATTAACTATCGGGTGGTACTTGTGCTCTGTAATGAACCTGCTGTAGTTTAGATGCTGAGCCAGTTCAGGAATCTCTGCCTTCCTCTCTAAAACCACGTCTTCTCATGCATGAACCAAACAGTGAAATATGTAGCTCACTCTGTCCCAATCTGTCTGTTGATTACATGTGGAGATTGAAACCTTGCCCAAGTTCACGATGCTCGTATTTACCCAGGACATTGTGATTTTCTTAGAAAAAGTGTTAATCAGTGCGCTTTCACTTGTATCTCCCTATGTTAGGACAAGGTCCTGCTATGCACTGTGTTCTGAAAGGTAAGCCTGAGGCATCCATGGGTTGCAAGCTTCCACGAAATCTGGCCTTTATCCTCTGAAGGAGCCCTGGTCCCCCTGTTTAGATCTTAGTTCGTGAAGACACCACGGCAGAGTGATAAAAGCAGGCCCTTTAGGGGGGATGGAAGGGGTCTAGTGGTTCTCTTTGATGATTTTGTTTTAGCGAAATACACTGGATATTAGTCGAAAAATAACTTTTAAAGCACCAAGCCTGGGCGAACACAAGAGCTCGAATGTTACATAAACATCATTAATGTGAAACAAAAGACCTAAGACTTCGCTCTGGCTCACTTCTGCCTCTCTATGAAGCCTCAGATCAATTGCTTTTCTGTCTTGTCCCTCCTTGACACGAGAAAACCATAATTGGATTTCCTTGTGGCGTTCTGGAAGGGCAGGGAAAACAAATGGTGGTCGAGAAGGTATCTCAATCACCTCTGTCTACTTCCCTCTTGCTCACCTCTGTTTTGTCTGTATGGAAGGTATCATTAAATATTTGTGGAATCATTAATGGCCAAATAAATGAACAAGTCAACGAATGCATGAAAAATTAGGTTAAGGGGCGCCTGGGTGGCGCAGTCGGTTAAGCGTCCGACTTCAGCCAGGTCACGATCTCGCGGTCCGTGAGTTCGAGCCCCGCGTCGGGCTCTGGGCTGATGGCTCAGAGCCTGGAGCCTGTTTCCGATTCTGTGTCTCCCTCTCTCTCTGCCCCTCCCCCGTTCATGCTCTGTCTCTCTCTGTCCCAAAAATAAATAAACGTTGAAAAAAAAATTAAAAAAAAAAAATTAGGTTAAGTAATCTTAGGATGGGGTTATGAAACGGTTTTGTGTCTTGCTTCTCACCTACATTTCCAGTTTCAGTTTGGCAGGAAACTTGTTTTTCCTTCTATTTCCCTCAGTGCCTTATAAGTCTTATGCACACAGTAGTGCTCAATAAATAGCCATGAAATGAACAGTGTATTACTGAAAGTTGGATTCTGTATTCAATTTGTTATTATCCAGGGGCCGATTTAATATATTTACAAATCATCCCAAACTTTCTGTTCCTCTTCCTCCTCTCTGTCTGCAGTTCCTCTCCTTCATATGGTTAAAGAGACGACAACGTGAAGGAGCTAATTTTCCCACTTGGAGGAGTGGATCACAAAGGTTAGTTGGAAGAAGGGTTTGAAAAGAATCTTTAAAATCGTTATGGCTGTTCCATTTACCTATATTCCCTCTTTCCCATTAACAGGGTTGCTTTAGTTTAAAATTTTTAAAAATGATACTCTCTCAGGTTCTTCCCCTCTAAAGATGTACATTCCCACCCTGTATCTCCTCCATAAGACATGTGTACCAGGACACACCCCATAATCCCAGAGGTGGAACCCTCCAGTGCCAGGATGTATTTTACTTTCTCTGGCATATAACAAGATCAATCGCAACCATGGTCCCTTCTTAAAAATCTAAACCAAACGGTGGCTTGGATGAAGGATTCACCAGTGACTGGTTTGCAGTGATTAGGTCTCACAGATAAAACCTCATCTGTAACTTGAAAGCCTAATTCAATCGTTCACGTAATTAACATCTCCGGGCTTGCAATGCCGACCAACCGTCCTCCTGGCTTACCTCAGAACAGGTCTGAAATACTTCGGCATGATAATCCGGGCTCTGCTCATCCGTCAGCTCCTTTAAGTCATGCCCAGAAGAAAATACAGGCCCCTCCGCTACAAATGTTTCCAGTTGAGAAAAGAAAAAGAAGACGTAAATGGCCAGCTCTGGGACTTACTTGTCTACCGGGTAACTAGCAATAGTATGGATGCTGTGGACACTCAGAGAAAGTTAATGGCTCAATTTTGATAAGAATAATTCTATTTAGCTTGAAAAGTAACCGAGTAAGGTGAGGCATCTGTTCCTAAAGGTCTCTGGAGGGACCAGCGGAAACATGTAATTCCAGCAAGGAGAAGGCTCAGGAACCAAGGCGAGTATACGTACTCTTTCCAGATTTATCCCTCTGGTTTCACACTTTTGTTGCTGGACTCGGTCTGGCCTGAGTGTATAGACTCATATAGGCCCGTCAAATCCAGCGTGCCTCCCACGTGTCCCTGTCCTTTGTCTACAGACAATGGCCACCCACACAGGTTCGAATCCAGGAAGGGCAGAGTGTGAGGAGAACCCCCTTATTTATTTATTTCTTTTCAACGTTTATTTATTTTTGGGACAGAGAGAGACAGAGCATGAACGGGGGAGGGGCAGAGAGAGAGGGAGACACAGAATCGGAAACAGGCTCCAGGCTCTGAGCCATCAGCCCAGAGCCTGACACGGGGCTCAAACTCACGGACCGTGAGATCGTGACCTGGCTGAAGTTGGACGCTTAACCAACTGCGCCACCCAGGCGCCCCGAACCCCCTTATTTTTATGAGGGATCTGAGGACGTGGTTTTATTGTTACTGTTGTCATTAGCAACAATGGTGACGTGTAATCTCACTGATAAGCTGCTAACACTTTCTTATATTTTCCTTTTGCTGTGGCTGCTGGGACAGACGACATTATTCCCTTTAAACAAGTGAAAAAATTGTGTGGTTCAGAGTTTGCTGCCTTGCTGCATCCAGGTTACACCCCCATGGCTGCAGGACAATTTCCCTTCGTCGTATAAAACGTTGAAAATTTATATTCAACCACAGACAGGGAGGTAACGTTCTGAGTGTCTGCCTCCAGAAACACCAACTCTTAATTTTTAAAAAATAGTGCCTCATAGGGCATCATGTGTTTTATTTTTCTGTGGTTGCTTTAAAACGCTGGCATTGCTGTTATTTATACCACTGTCATCCTCACTAGATGATCTGGCAAAAATTCTTCCTGGAAAAAGAGCAAGGAAAGAAATGAACACAATATAGCATGCTTTCTGGCACCACTGAAGAAGACCACGGATCTCGGTTGAAAGCTTAGTTAAGAACCCAAAAGACAAACCAACCAAGTGCCCCAAGCAGCCTGTCCTAGCCAACTAGGTTGTCTACCGAAAGGATCAGTGATTAAACCCATCTCATCAGGTCCATGAAGAAATCCGTTCTCTGACTTTGACGGGAAGACCAGCACAGCCAAGGATGGTGGCAGTGGTGTTTTGTGTCCGACAAAAAGGAAAAGGCACACATTCTCACTGCGCGGTAATCTTTGCTATAATTCCCACGGTTGACAGTGTCAGGATCAAGGCCCCCACTGCGCATGAGTTTTCCACAATCAACGTTCTTAAAAGGAGCTTCAAAAACAATCACCCCGCTAAGTGAGGGAACGCCCCAGATAACCAAAGAATTTTGAGAAACCTCTTCTGGGTACTGCAGAGCACTGAGGTTGGATATCAGATAAATACCTGAGATGATAACGACTTTGAGGTCTTTGCTGTCCGCTTCGTGAAGAAGGTCACTTTGGAGAGATTTCAGCATCGCTAATGACAGTGCGTTCCTCTTCTTTGGATCACTCAAGACAATGTTCCTGGGAAGAACGTTTTATACTTATTGGGTCGAGCATGAGTCAAAACAAATGAGGACCTCCGTGATCCCTTTCTAACCTGGGAGCTATTTTTAAAACGCCAGGTAAAAGAACCATGGGTGGCAATTGAGAGGCTCTGCCCTCTAGAGTTACAGCTAAGTCAAAACAAGGAGACCAGCTGAAATGCCGGCCGGGTTTTCTCCCTCCTTCCCTGGATTGGTTTCTCTTTTTCTCTACGTTCGCTGTCAGACCCATGACTGTCGCCACCACAGAAAGGGCAGTTGCGACAGTTCCCAAACCACTGCCCATACTGAGAGGCGGTGAGGTTTGTGAGAAGACAGGGGTGGGCGCCAGGGGAAATTGCCACATTGTGGTGACCTTCGGCTTGTTTCTTCAAAAGAATGAGGCCGGGGAAGGAGCCCAGAATGAAAACACGGCCCCAAGTCTCCTCCCGTCCACCCCGTAGAGGAAGCAGTGCAGTTATAGCTATCGATATGCGTATGGGACAGCATTTTCCTGTTGTTTTTTGTTCCTTACAGTGGCATCCTGTAATTCTGCAAAATAATTTATGCTGAGAATGGGCAATATGTGAAGAAGAAAAGGGCAGGCGCTTGCAGCAAGAAGGCTCTTCTGCACGTGTCATCCGACAAAGAGCTGGCACGCAAAGGTCTTCCCGCTATTTTCAGGCATCCCACATGCTAATTAAAATGAGTGGTATTGTCATCTGGCTTCCCGTACACAGAAAATGTCTCATTTTTACTGTTATAAGGACTGGGCAGGGAGCCAAGCACCAGACTATTTGTCCTATATGTAAGACGTGTTTCCCATCGGTCCCCACCTACGTGTTTTCTGCCTTTCTCGTCCTTTTTTGGAATCTTATATTCCTACTGCCGTGTGTCAGCCTGGATCCTCCTGTAATAGCCTTCTGCTGCCACTGTTTTCTGGAAAACCACTTTGGTGACGGACTTTATTTCAGCGCGTTAAGAAGAACCGGTTTCTTTGGAACCCCATGCCAGCTTTGCTGCCATCTGCAGGTGCCTGTGACACTCACCCGTTCTGTTTCTCACGAACACATTCCCTCCGAAGTACCAAGGGACTTGCCGCCGATAATGCTGGTAGACTAGGACACCCACGTCTTGGGGCGTGGTAACAAGTGCTGACGAACCTTCCGGTAAAATCATGAGCGTGCTTTCTGTAGCAAAGCTAAGCGCTGCCATCCCATAGGTGACATATGCCCTAAATTAAATTCTGAGGCCTCTGGCAAAATTGTGCAGAGATGCCAGCCCCTTAGATGCCCTGGCTGCGTGGCAGCATCGGTTCCTATGTGGCCCATTAACCCTTTGGCTGGCACGTCCCACGCCCTGTCAGGGTGCTCTAAACTGCTGAGTTCGCTTTTCAACTAAACCGTTCTCACCGAGAATCTCCCAATTGCCAGAACCGAATCCAATGGCCGTTTGGCTCATGCTCTCCTTCTGGAAGCACATCTCTTTAGTGCTTCCCTAGCCCGCCCTCCACTTCTTCGAGGGGCGCCTAGCCTTCTGCTATGCCCTAACTGATCCTCAGAGCTCCCTCCCCTGCTCTCTCCTTGTTCCATGTGCTTCCGAGTCCACTTCACCATGGCCGTGGCTTCTACTGGTACCTCTGTGCCGATGAGTCCCGATCTTTGCTCTCACTCAGACCTCCCTCCTGAGCTCCAGGTCTGCACACCCAGTCCAGGGTCTCCCGGACTGAGGTACCCTTGGGCATCTTCCTCTCTCCTCCTTTCCTGATCTCAGTGCTGCTACTCGGTTGCTCAAGCCAGAAACTGATAGCCATGCTGTTGCTTCCCTATTCAACTGGTCAGCAAACCTAGTTGATAATCCCTCCTAAAAATTTTACCAGTCTGAATTCTCCCAATGGCTCTCTTGGGTCAAAACGCGTGATGCCTTGCACCTACGGCTTCACCAACGCCGCCCCTCGAAAGAGGGAGGGAATCACTAAGAGTGAGGTCACCGCCACAGCATGTGACAAAAAGTGTAATATTTGTGTGTGCAAGGCAAGTGATGGGCCCTGCAGATGCCCCCGGCAACTGTCTAGAGACCATCACATCATTGTAAACCAACAGAAGGTCCATGAGATGAGGCATGGTCATGTTCACACACAGAGGAGACACTCTACAGGTACCTGCTCACTGAATTAATGACCCCAAGTAGCACTTCGATTTCTCACAGCCAATTGCACCAAATTCCTGTAAATTTTCACCTCGCCTAGTGTTTGGCTACCTTTTTTTTTTTTTTTAAAGGGGGGCGGAGAGAGAGAGAGAGAGAGAGAGAGAGAGAGAGAGAGACTCTTAAGCAGGCTCGCACGACCTGGGGATCATGACCTGTGCCAAATTCAACAGTCAGACACTTAACCAACAGAGCCACCCAGACGCCCCTTGTCACCTCTTTTAAACCTCAGTGGTGAGTACACTGGGGTACACAGCAGAGTGGAAACAACTGGAGGCACATGGACCTTTTCCTGCCTCCTTAGCTTTCTTTCCTCCTGGCTGTGTGGCCTTGAACAGGCTGCCACCTCTCTGAAATTGTGTCCTCACTGTAGGGTGGGGACGACATAACCTGCCTCACAGGCTGTTAGGTATTAGGGGTAAGGATCGTACAGTACCTGGCACAGTACCCGATGCCTGGGTGGTTTCACTCCATGACAGTACTACTGCTGAGGGAAACAGCTTTGAAAAGGAATGCTTAGTGTGACTTGAGTTGTTCAATCTCACCTACCTAGTGCTTAACATACTACTGCTTTAGTGCTGGATCTGGAGGTTCCTAATTACCAAACAATGTCAGGCATTTTATGATAGATTGGTTCTCCCCATTATCTCCCTTTCTGATTCATGTTTAGCTCCGGGGAACTCAGTCAGACCTTCTTTGGTCAACTGGCTGCCGTGCCAGAAGTTAGGCAGCTGATCAGGTGGAACCAGATTTGCAGAAGCAGAACCACCCTTGAAAATGGGCAGGAAGGACCCCTGCCTGGGCCCTGCCCTTTAGAGCACCCTGTTCTGGCCCTCTTCCAGCTGTGGCCCGCCAGGTGAGCAAGGAGTCAGTATGATGTGCCCGCCTGGAAATCACCACCCCCTTCCAAACCCTGCTGCAGTTATCTGAGACTCTGAAATTCTCTGGCTTTGCAGTGGGCACCCTTAAGCCCATCGGGTGGCCAAGAGCAATTATTTACAGGGGGTGACGGGATAGAGAGAATACAGGCATGCTGGGTGGGTGTCTGCACACCTGTGTACCAAGCTCCAGGCAGAGCAGCAGGAAGGAGGGGTGGACAGGTGAGAGGGGGTAAGCACCGGGTGGGAAGAAAAGAAAAAAGCTGCCCACCAGCTGGCTCTCCACTGCTTCAGGGGAACTCCTAGGAGCCGGAGGATTACACATTCAAGCATGGTCTTCCAGGTCTTACAAAGACCTTGTCTTCCTACACTTGTCAGGGTAGGAAAAAAACATTTAGCTGTTAGTTTGATTTGTAACTTCTAACTGCTTAGCATGCTGGGTAGGCCTCTCTTTGCACCCTTGCCCTGGCCAGGCAAACATCAGGGTGAGGCCTGGATGGGGCTAGGGGCCCTTCACCTTTTACTGCTGCTACTTCATCCGGTTCCAGTTTGTGCACCGGTTTTAGGTTTGTTTAGCCAAAGGGCAGAGCTCAGGACAGTGTGTCCTTCATCCTACATATTTACCTGCCCCGCCGCGGGCACTTCTGGGGGAGGGCCAAGGAGCAGCTCCGCTAAGCCTAACCTGGCCTTGGAACTAGGTCAAGTTTGTGAGAAGCACAAAACCCTCTTTCTCAAAGGCCACCTGGCGAGCGGCCCACCCCGCGCCTAAAGTCCAACGAAGACTGGGCTCCGTTGCCATGGCGGTTTAGGGAGTTTGAGCGCTGGGACCTTTGGAGGCTGTCGCACTTGAAATTCTCCGGTGTCCTGCAGGGTCCCAAATGCTACCGTGCCCAGGCAAGGGACTTCAGGAAACACCGTGTCCGCGGGTTCCTTCGGGACCGCCGGCCAGATGTAGCCGTAACGGAGAAACTGCGGTCCCTAGCGGGCGGAGCTGACCCCAGGCTGAGCCCTCGTTGGCCTCCGTGTGGGGTGACTGCCCACGCCAGTGTCCCTGCCGCCCACCCCAACCTGGGAACCGCCCCTCTCGGCCCGCGGGCCGGTCCGGGAGGGCTTGGGCGCCCGGTGGCCCCGCCGCTGACCTGATGCCTTCCCGCTGCCGCGCGCTGGTGGGTCGCGGCCCGGGCCCCCTGCTGCAGAAGCCGGCGGAGAGCGGGGCCCACGGGTTGCGCCGGAGCCAGCCGAGCCCCTTTGTCCCGAAGGCCCGCAAGCCGAGGGCGGCCATGGCAGCCAGAAATACACCCCGGAGGGCCGGACGCCCTGAGAGCCGCTGTGCGAGCCGCCGGAACGCGGCGCCTCGACCGCCCCCAGCCGCGGGCAAAACTGGATCGGACCCTCAGGCCTGGGCCCAGATCTGCCTCCTCTCGCAGGTCCGCCCCGCCCCTCCCCC